GCTGCAGAAAGAGTCAGGAGCCCAGAGGTGGGGGCAAAGGAAGAATGTGGTGGGGGCAGAAAGTGAAGAAGAAAGCAGATGATAGAACATGGTTAGAGAGCAGGAAAGGAGGTGAAAGGAGAGGATATTTCTAGAAGAACATTTTCAGTTGCTGTCAAGTTTTCAGGTTTCTAACCCGGGACCTATTGAATAAGACTAAGAGGCAAACACCGTAACCTCTAGACTACGAACCCCCCCCCCCCCCCCTTTCAATTGTCTACCTAATTCATGTATTTCTCTATCTTTAGAGCCTTTGTCTGTTAAACACAGAGGCAAAACAAGCATGGTGGTCTGGCATGATACAGTGTACCAGTATACATGTAGTGAGGTCGGATCTCCCAATGCAAAGTCCATCCCCGGTGGGACCAAGCCGAGTTGGTACAAACCTTTGAAAACTCTCAATTCAACCCAAATTCATTAACACCCGTTACGGATTCGAACAAGGGTCATAAGCACTGCAGCCCAGCAAGATACCAACCAACTAAGCTAACGGGGCGCCCATATTGTTTCGCTAGAGATCGTGCCTTCATAACCCTAACAACTTCATTATAATAATGCCTTGTCCCAGAAGCTTTGGCCAAGTCTTCCCTTATGACTAGCAGCCAATAGGAAAATCGTTTGGTCAAGTACACATCACATTATGGTCGTCCTTAACGTAAAAGAGATGAGTTCGAACCAGACTTCAGAAAGTTTATTTCTGATAACTTTTCCATTTTTTCTTGGCTAGATCCTCTTTTCTTTTTTCTTTTCTTTTCTTTTTCTTTTTTTTTTTGGGGGGGGGGGGTGGGTAAGTGTTTTACAGCGCTCGCAACTGCATAAGGTCATATGAGCGCGCGGGACACATTAAACATTTTCAGTAGGTAGGAAATTTTGATTTTTTCCAGGGTGGGGGCCAAAGCCTACTCTTGTCGATTTTGGACCACCAAGGGATCTTTAACGTGCGCAGCTTGCACATGGGCCCTCCGAGATTTTTTTGCCCTTGTCCAAGAATGCTAGTTGTAGATCTTTCCCACCAGAAGATCAGGGGTGTGATTGAAAGACAGCTGTAAGAAGGAGCCAAGGAGTAGCAGTAGAAAGGCTGCAGAAAGAGTCAGGAGCCCAGAGGAGGGGGCAAAGGAGGTGAGGGGGTGGGGCACAAAGTGGAGAGCAGGAAAGGAGGAGAAAGGAGACAATTTTAAAGAAGAAAATATTTTCGTCGCTACCCAAATTCGAACCCGGGACCTTTGAATGAGAGGCGACCTCCTTAACCTCTAGGCCACGAGAGCCCCGCCCCTTAGTATTCTCTATCTCATGAAACCTAGACAGATAGGATCAAAGAACCCCACTTACTACAAGATCTAATAAATAATGTCCAAAGAGACGTTAACATTAACATTCATTGGGGGGGGGGTGCAGAAGGTGGAGGGGGCATTATGACTAGGGAAATTTTAAGTACCGTAATAATCAAATCATTTTCCTAGAGAGTTACGGAACAGATGAGAATTCAACATTCAAGAGTAGATCTAATTATGTCCGGGACCACAAAAAAATGACATCAGCACCTGGTCTTGTATCGTCAACAGTGAAGGGAACAATTGGGCACGCATATATCACGTGAACATAAAGGCCGACCGTGTTTGACTCTATTTCTATACAGCAGTTTTCCGCGAAGTTCGTTGACTCAGATGTTTGACATATCCTGAAGGTTTTTTTGGTTCAGTATACGGTCGAATCTGCTCGAACGGCCTTTAATTTGTCCAAGACAATCACCTTGGGCAAACGACCACTTCCTACTTGCTTGTTATTTCAATAGAGTATAGGCTTACATGTACATATTGTGGTGTATACAGCATTAATTATTGTAATGACAATGTCCAAGAAGACCACCTGTCTAAGTAATACTGTCCCCGGGGTTTTATGCACCCCGCATAATTTAGCCAAATTTGATCATTTGTTGCCTAATTTCTGATTATTTTCCTATTATAATTCTATGTTAAAATTAACAGAATCGCATAATTTCACATTTTTTGGCTCTGTTTGCAGAATTATGACCACATTTTCTCCTCGATAATGGACAGGTTCAATTGTATTTCACGCTGGAAACTGATTCGAATTCCGGACAACAAAACGAGTCGGTTTTCTCTGTGATCACTACTTTGACAAGCAAAGCAAAATGGACGTTGTATACTTCTGTGACAATATCCACCTAATCTCAATACTTATTTTCGACTCTCAAACCAAAAGATTACATCTATCTTACAGGTCATGTACTCCTCACGGTTGACTAATTCTGAGTAATTCACCATTTCCCTGGAAAATTTCGTCTCAGACTAAGGTGCACACTACGGCTGGATCGGGCGATCGCCCGACTCGATCGCCTGAAACTGAAAACAAACACGTTTGTTTAGACGACGGAGTCAGCCGATCCCATCCGGTGTGGCCACCCCGTGAACTATTTGTAAGGTAGTTTACAGTAAATAATTGTAATAATGCGTCTTCACCCAAAGGGTGGTTTTAATGTATAGATCCTGAATACAGAAACTTTTCTTCCATTACTAGATCAAGACTTTTGAGAAAAAAATATAATTGTTTGGTCACTGGCTTACAGAGGTGTCCTGCAAAGTTTCGTGCGCCTTGGCAAATTCAATAAATGAGAGAATATTTTTTTACGCGGACAAGCGAAAGTGAACATTCTATAGTGCTGAGCTAGTTTGTTTTGTGTTTTTTTAAACATGTCAAATTACTCATAGCACGGGCGTCTGTGGTGTAATGGTCGGACATTTCTCTGTCTGATTTTGATTCCTTTGAAAAAAAAAACAGTTTATTTTTATGAAGTGCATCGGTCTGTCTGGTGGGACGTTACGTCCCTCTCAACCAGGGTTAGCCCTGAGTGACAACCAAGGTCCAAACAGCGTACCTTCTAAATAATATACAAAATGATCTACATTATGTCGACGGGGGACGAGAGACATTGACAAATAACCTTTTAAAAAAAATACTTCTCGAAAATCACATTTACGCAAAATGCG